GAGTGGATGAGAATGGACGCAGGAAGTAGATTATTCTACCCTGTGCTTGCCCATTGGCCTGGGAGCCCATGTTCGCAGGCAGGTTCTTCCCAGCCCTGGGGGCGGCTCCCCATGGGAGTTCTCCGTCGTCTCTCACCTCTCGGGGCGCTCCACCGAGCCCACGCCCGGCTCCCAGGAGCAAGTCGCCATGAGCGGGTCCCTGCTTTCCCACAGGCCGGGCCCTGACAGGAAGTGGAGAGTGTGGCTCCACCCGGGGTCCCGCCTCTGCCTGTGGTCCACCCTTGTGGCTTCATAGCCTGGGACCCACAGTGAGTTGAAGGCCTGCACTGTCTCTTCCGGCCAACGTGGGTCCCGATGGTTTGAGCAGACGGGCGCTGGCCCCCAGATGAGCACCGGGGCACTCCGGTGCCTGGAGCCTCCTAGCAAGGGCGTCGTCCCAGGAGAAGCCTGGGACACAGAGGCCATTGTTTCTCTGTCACCACAGGCAGAGCTCCTCCACCTGTCCGCTGTCCTCGGGACGCCCCAGGAGTTGGTGCCTGTCCTGGTTCCCCTTCCCCAGGGAGGAGGCCCAGGCACTGGCAGTTGGAGGGGAACGGCCGGGCAGAGGAGCGGCCGAGCAGAGGAGCAGCAGGGCCTGTGTAGCCTCAGAGGGCTCACTGGGTCTCAGCTCTGGGCCTCTGGCTGCTAGGCCAGGAGTATGCTATGACTCTGAGGAACTAGCAGAACCCTCCAGGCTACCAGTGTCCATGAACCTCTGGCGCAGCAAGGAAGCTTGGGCCACTCTGGCTGGAGCCACCAGGCGGGTCTACACCAGCCGGGTCGGCCTGGAGCTGACCTCAGCCAGGCCTCTGCAGCCACAGGCTCCCTCCCCAGGTGCCGCTGGGTGATTCGTTAAGACAGATCACACCAGTCACCCGAAATACACTTCAGGGGAAAATGGATGGTTTTTATCTCCTTTTTGTGGTGGTGTTAGGAGAAGTGGGCGGCCACAGTTCATTAAAAATTAAAAGCAGAGGAGGCTTCATTAATTTCTCTGGCATTGCAGGCTCCGGTTTCTCAGGGAACAGGCCTGCCAGGCCCCAGCGTTTCTCTGGCTCCACGTGGAGGGTGCCTTCCGTGCGGGTGGGCACTCCCCGCTGAGCTCCGTGGGGGGCTGCCCAGATTGGGGCCCACGGCCCCTGGGTGAGGGGAACAGGGTCTGGCTGGGCTGTCTCCCTAAAGACCTCAGTGCTCTGTTTCCGGGGTGCCAGGAGGAGACCCAGGGGCCTCAAAGAGAAGCTGTTGGAGGCAGGACTAGTCCCAGGTCAGCAGTCCTCAACCCCACTGTGTCTGGGGAGGAACTTGGCTGTCCAGAAACCAGTGAGGCCCTGGCAATGGGCAGAGTTGCATTTCTCTGTTTCCTGGCTGTGGAGGCCAATAGGAGCCCAGTGGGACGCACTGGCTTCGTGGTCTTGGCAGGCAGTTGCAGAGGCCCAAGGCCCAGAGTCCCAGCTGCCCCAGGTCCATGGGGAGGTAAAGGGAGGAGCAGGAGCTCCTGGGAGGCCCATGACCACTGGAGGGCTGGGGGTGTGGCCAGAGCTGGCTGGAGAGATGGAGCTGACTGGGTGTTGCCTTGAAGCGGAGTGTGGGACGATGGTCAGGGTGGAGCTGGGCACCCCCGCCTAGGAGGAGTGGTCAGGCAGGAGCCCCAGGCCCAGAGGGAGGTCAGGGGGAGAAACATTCTGAGGGCAGAGCTGCGGGACCTGCTGATGGCTCTGATCTAGGGGAGAGGAGGGTACAGGAGCCTGAGGTCGGTGGGGGGTAGCTGGCCTGGTGCCATCAGGAATGGAGAATTCTGCCTGGGTGGGGCGGGGGGTGGATGCCAGAGGGTAGAGTGGGACTGGACGGCTGCCAGCAGAGCCAGTTGGGAAGTCACCCCTGCGTGGTACTTAATTCCTGGGCTGGGTGGGAGAGAGGTACCTGTGGCCAGCCGTGGGGTCCCCCAAGGAGAACAGAGCAGAGAGGAGAAAACCAGAGCTCTGGGAGGCCGTGCTGAGAGGCCCGGGGAGGAGGGGAGATTCTGGGGCCTGGTCACCATGAAGGGCATGGTGAGGCTCCCTGCCGGACAGGAGAGGGTAGGAGGCAGTAGGGGCAAGTGAGGTGGGCAGATCCCCCGCATTGAGGCTTTTGCCGTGGAGGGCAGGACAGTGGTGGGGAGGCGGGCAGGGTGGGTTCCTAAGCTCCATGCTTTTAGGACCCGGTGGTCCCTGGGTACCCCTGGCAGTGAGGGGAGGAGGGCCTTAGGAAACCCTGGGCTCAGCCCCCAGGGGCAGCTCCCCCCTCAGCTCTGCCTCCCCACCGACATGGCCAGACCAGGCCCAGCAGAGCCTGGACCTCCAGTGTCCTGTCTGAGCCTCTCATTCAGAGAGAAAGACAGTGGACAAGCCCCCCAAAGAGACCCTCATGCAGCGAGGGCCCTCCCCAGCCAGAGCTCCAGGCACACAGATGAGAGGCGTGGGGCAGGAGGAGGGACTGGGGGACCGAGCAGAGCTGTCTGCGTTGAGGGGTTCCAGGGTGAGAGGCGTGGGGCAGGAGGAGGGGCTGGGGGACTGAGCAGAGCTGTCTGCACTGAGGGGTTCCAGGGCATGATGGGGCACTCTGGGGGCAGACTGACCCCCGATTAGCACCGGGTTCAGACCCCACTGGTCTGTGGGAGGCTTGTCCCACCGCCTGGCTCCAGAAGCCCCGAGTGTGCCAGGTGGGGTGACCAACCTGCCCCAGGACTTGGCCTGAGTCTCCTTTTCAGCATGGGACAAGGACACCCAGAGCCACGCGCCTCTTCCTGGGCCCTGGCCCTTCTTTATTTCATTTATTTATTTATTATTCATTTTTGAGACAGGGCCTCGCTCTGTCACCTAGGCTAGGGTGCAGTGGCGTGTTGATGGCTCACTTTAGCCTCAAACTCCTAAGTTCAAACGATTCTCCTACCTCAACCTCCCGAGAAGCTGGGACTACAGGCACGTGCCACCATGCCTGGCTATTTTTTATAGAGACAGGGGGTCTTGTTATGTTGCCTGGGCTGGTCTCAAACTCCTGGCCTCAAGCGATCCTCTCACCTCTGCCTCCCAAGGCCCTGGGATTACAGGCCTCTGCGACCGGCCTCTGGCCCCTTCTTGAGCTCTGTAACCAGCAGAGGCCACAGTGGCCACTGGGGCAGATCAAGGCAGGTGCTGGGACTCTACCAAGGCCCCTGCTGCCCACCCCATGGCAGCCCCACCACGAAGGCTGCTGCACACACCTGGTCCACATCACTTACCCTGAGTGTTGTGAGCTTTGGGAAACACCGAATATTTTAATCACTTTTGGAGATGTTGGGGTCACCAGCATCTGATGTCACCAGTGACATCAAATTCTCAGATTCGATTGATGGGAGCCAGTGCCTGCTCAGAGGGGAGGTGAGGCTCACAGCCCGCCCACTGAGTGTCACAGCCTCCTGCCCTGGTGGACAGTCACAAGGAAGGGGTTGAGGCAGGAACAGAGGTTGGGCTGGTGCTTACCTCCCCCCACCTCTGGACAGCTGCCCTGGGACCTCTGCTTGAACGCTGCCTCCTCCACGCAGCCCTCCAGGATCCTTCCAGGCAGCACAAGTCTTCCTCTGGGCTCCCCTGTCTGTCTGCCCTACTGTGTTGTGGCCCTCGCACTGCACTGGGCAGGGGGCCCATGCTGAGGAGCTCACCTGGACTGCGTGTTCTGCCCCCATACCATCCCTGAGGGAGGCAGGGCACCTCTCTTTGACCTCAGGGAGCAAGGCCAGGCACCAGAGGCTGCCCCCGAAGGCTAAGGCAGCCGAGTGATAGGAGTAGACATCATGGAGGTCACAGTGGCCATAGCTGGGAGCAGTCGAGGGCCCCATGGAGGACAGTCCAGCACCCCAGGGCACAGGCCGTTTAGTGGGACACGTGCTCCGCCTCCCCAGAGATGGCCGCGCCTGCTGCAGGAACCCTGGCTCCGGGTCTCACTCCTCTCTGTCTTGCAGGCTGGCAGCATTGGAGTTTTCATTTCAGGGGAACATTAAACCCTGGCCCAGCCTGGCCCGCATCCCGGCACAGCCGGGCACAGGAGGCCCTGTGTCCAAGGCTGGAGCAGTGGGGGCAGCAGCCATCCACACCCAGGCTCCATCCTACTCTTGGTGGCCAGCCTGGGTCATGGAGGTGGTGGCCACAGTGGGTGAACCACACAATCTCCCCACTCCACCTCACCCCACCTGCCACCCTCGGCGACTGGCACACTGTGGTCTCTTCTCAGGACCTGGAGGCCAGCGGGCTGGGTGACAGGCCCCATGTGCATGGGGGTTGAGGGGTGTCTGGGAACTGGTGGCTGGAGCAATAAGTGAGCCTGAGGGAAGGGGAGCAGCCCTGGCTAGAGAGGGCCCCACAGCTGGCCTGCGGGCTGGGTGCAGGGATGACCACTTCCCACCAGCCCATCTTCCCCGACAGCCCTTGAGGCTGCAGTGGCCCAGAGCCGTGGAGCACAGCCACCAGTGGCCTCCAGACAGAGCAGCGGACCATCAGCTGTGGACGTCCTGTCTGACGCAGGTCCTCTGGTGTGCTCTCAGCACTCGCGGTGTCCTGAGCACCATGCCCAGGGCCATATGGGCAACTTTACCTCCTGGCAGCTGCCCTGCACCCACGGAGGCTTGGGCAAGGGTGTGTGGAGTGGGTGCCGCACCCTGAGCCCCAGCAGGGCGGCCTGGAGGGCCCAGATTCACAGCAGTGAGTGCCCAGGGGTGCAGGGAGGAATCTTGAGAGGAGCTGAGGCTGGGTCAGCTGTCTGCTGGGTGTGACGGACACCAGGGCCCTCCCAGGTCTGAGATGGAGGCAGTGGCCCTGCTGGGCCCCATCGGTCTTCTCAACTCCTGCAGTTGGAAGGTTGGAAGCAGTCAGTCGGACTGGGGCTTCCGGCGTGTCCCCAGCCTGAGCCCCCACTGGTCCTGAGCCCCCACGCCCTCTCTGCCCCTCCAGGGTCCAGGTGGAGTTCTACGTCAACGAGAACACCTTCAAGGAGCGGCTCAAGCTGTTCTTCATCAAAAACCAAAGATCGAGTGAGTGGGGCGCCTGGAGGGCCACTCCCAGGCAGGGAGCTGTTGAGGGCGCTGGGAGCAAGGCGGGCAATGGCAAAGGCTGGGGCTGTGAGCTCAGGGAAGAGTCCATGGCGTGGGAGCCGCCTGAGTGCTGCGGGGGGATTTGGAAGCAGGGTGGGGGTGGGTGTGCATGGTGAGTGGGGCACCGGGTCACCCCCTCTTAGCTTCACACTATCTGAGACCAGGACCTCTCCAGCGGGACCCATGGGGACACTGCCCTGCCTGCTGGACACCAGGCTGGGTGGGGCAGGACCATCCACAGGTGCCCACAAGGTCTTCCCTGTGGACACGCCCTGCCCCCCCACCCCTCCATACAGCCCCACCCTCCCCAGTAGCTCCCTGCCCCGTTCCCAGCCAGAGCTGGGCCTCATGGCCCCCCCAAGGGATGCAGGGTGAGGACTTGAAGGTTTTCCCAGGGGCTCCACATTCACCTGCCTGCTCCCCAATCCTCATCCTGACCCCCAAGAAGTGGAGTGGCCTGTAGAAATCCCCTGCACCCCACGTGCTGTAAGGTAGGGCCAGGGACGGAGCCTCTCGGAGGCTGACCCGGGACCACCGGCCCCCAAGCAACACAGGGCACGCAGGGCTCTGGGTGCAGCCGGGTGTGGGAGGGGAGCCCAGCTGGGGCCATCCAGAGAGCCCAGCCAGACCCGGGTGCAGGCCCTGCTCCCCGAAGCCCAGGGCTGGGTCAGAGCCCTGAGGCCGTCGCCCTCCCCGCAGGCCTAAGGATCCGGCTGTTCAACTTCTCCCTGAAGCTCCTCACCTGCCTGCTCTACATCGTGCGCGTCCTGCTCGACGACCCGGCCCTGGGCATCGGATGGTGGGCCACCTGCGCGGCTGGGCGAGGGGTCGTGGGTCCCAGGGCTGAGCTTTCCTGCTGGGCCATTACAGAGGCTGATGGCGTCCCTGAGGGAGCTCCTGTGCCTGGGGCTTTGGGGAGTCCTTCCTTCTCCAGCGCCTGTCCCAGGATGGAAAAAGCCAAGGACTCAGTGCCCAGGCTCCCGCAGGCAGCTCAGCGTAGGGAGAAGGGTCCCCGTTGTAGACTTCCAGCTGTGCCCTTAGCTGCTAGTGGACCCCAGAGGTCCACAGAAAGGCCGGAGCATCTAGGAAGCCCTCCCTGCCCCTGCAAGTGTCTTCGTGCTCACTTGAGCTTCTGCAGGTCAGGGAAGGGGGCGCCCAGCCCCCCGGGGAAAGCCCTAGCTATTTCTGGGGGTGTCTTCTACCCTCCTGGGTCCCAAGGAGTCCCCTTCCCGGGGCCCATCGTCCTGGGGCCAATGCTCCAGGGACTTCCGGGAGAGGTGCTCCAGCAGCCGTGTGCACCGTCAGGTCCTCACCAGCCTCGCAGCAGCCACCATGAGGGTGCGTGGGAACTTGCTCTCTCTGAGTCCTGTTCCGTCTCCTTCTGCTGTTGCTGCTTCGAGAAGTGGCAGCTCCTGGGACCTACTCTGTGCCCAGGGCGCCTTGGTGACTCCTGCTCCCTCTATGTGGGTCCCAGGGGACATCAGCAGGGCCCTGCGGCCCTCAGTGCCGGATTGTCCTGAGTCATGTCTTTGGGGACCAACCCCCAACCCCAGGCCTCTCGCTCTGGCTCCCTGGCACTTGGATGCTGTGCTCTGTGTCCTGTTTCTTCTGTCCCCTCTTGCCTCGTTCCCTCGTTCACTCATTCACTTGTTCTGTCCTGCTTCCTGGTTTCCAGAAATCCTTCCTCTGAATGTCCTTCCGAGGATGACATCTCCAGCCCTTTCCTGTTTTACAGTTTCCCCATCTGCTGGGCCCGTTTCTCCCGAGCTCACATTGGGCCCTGATTTTTTCATACCCGTAATCTCCTCAAATGTCTGGTGCTGTTTATGCGTAAGAGTGCTCAGGCGCTGAGGGGCTCTGCAGCCACATGTATGGTGTGGTTGTCACCATCCAGCCATCGGGGTGAACCCTGCCAGGATGCTGGTCCCCTCTCTGGCTGTGCAGAGCAGGTTCTTCCTTGGAGAGGAAGGCCTGACTGCCGGGAGCCTGGCTTCTGAGGCCTAAAGGTGTGCATGTGAACTTTTGCTCAATCCCCTTTTCACCTGTTACCCTATCACGGGGTGCCTGGCATCCCCAGGCCAGAGCCTTACCCTCTCCTAAGAACCAACCTCCTGTCTTTGTCTAGGTCGGAAGAGGGCAGAACCCACTAGGATAGTTTGAGAAGGAGAACTGGGCCGTAACTGACTTTCAGGCTACTTTCCTGGGTCACCCCCCACCCCAAGTCCCAGGGGCCCCGGGGCTTCTGGTTTCACCTCCCCACAGGGCCCAAGTCTGTTATGTTCACTGCCCATGAACATAACATAGGGCAGACAGCGAGGGTACATCCCACATCTGCGGGATTGGGGTTAGCCCCGACTCAACAGCAACACACTGGTTCTGCCTGTGTTGACAACAGGCTCCCAGGAAGGGGCACTACATGGCCAGAGAGAGCACATGGGAACACTCAGGGCCTCCCCAAGGCCAGAGCTGCCTTGAACAAGGCTGGACAGTGCTCAAGAGACAGGGAGAGGAAGCTCCTATCCCTAGGTGCTGACTCCAAGAGGCACGTCCCTAAGCTGCTTCTGAGGACAAGCGACCTCCAAGTCACCTGGAACCAGCTGCTGCGACAGTGACCAGGGCATGGCCAACATCCTAGTTTTGTCCCAGACCATCACCAATGCTCATGCCCTAGCACAGCGCCCAGGACGTGGACGGGGGTGGGAAGATGGGTGGATGATGGATGGATGGATGGATGGATGGATGGATGGATGGATGGTTGGATGGATGGATGGAGTGGATGGAGTGGATGGAGGGATGGGTGGATAATGGATGGATGGATGGATGGATGGATGGATGGATGGATGGATGGATGGAGTGGATGGATGGAGGGATGAGTGGATGGGTGGATGATGATGGATGGATGGATGGGTGAGTGGATGGGTGGAGGGATGGATGTTGGATGGAAGGATGAGTGAATGGGTGGAGGAATGAGTGGATGGGTGGAGGGATGAGTGAATGGATGGAGAGATGAACAGATGGATGGATGGATGGACAGATGAGTAGATGGATAGATGAGTGGATGGATGGAGAGATGAGCAGATGGATGGAGGGATGGATGGATGATGGATGGATGGACAGATGAGTAGATGGATAGATGAGTGGATGGATGGAGAGATGAGCAGATGGATGGAGGGATGGATGGATGATGGATGGATGGACAGATGAGTAGATGGATGAGTGGATGGATAGACAGTGAGTGGATGACTGGAGGGATGGATGGATGGATGAGTGAGTGGAAAGATGGATGGGTGATGGATGATAGATGGATGTCCAGATACTTTTGTGGGCATTGAGTTTGCAACAAGCCCATTAAAAATCAGGGGAAAGTGGGTCAGTTGAAAGAAAAGACAAAAGGAGCTGGCCATCGCCAGGGGCCTTGTGAGCAGTGAGGTCTCCTTGGTCAGTGACGCTGGCATTGGTGATGGTCTGGGACAAAACTAACGTGTTGGCCACGCCCTGGTCACTGTTGCAGCAGCTGGTTCCATGCGGCTTGCGGGTCGCTTGTCCTGAGAAGCAGCTTAGGGATGTGCCTCTTGGAGTCAGCACCTAGGGATAGGAGCTTCCTCTCCCTGTCTCTTGAGCACTGTCCAGCCTTGTTCAAGGCAGCTCTGGCCTTGGGGAGGCCCTGAGTGTTCCCATGTGCTCTCTCTGGCCATGCAGTGCCCCTCCCTGGGAGCCTGTTGTCAACACAGGCAGAACCAGTGTGTTACTGTTGGGTCAGGGCTACCCCCAATCCCGCAGATGTGGGATGTACCCTCGCTGTCTGCCTGCTGGGCTGAGCAGAGGCCACCCCAGCCTTCCTCAGTTAGAGGCCCTCCTCCAGGATCTCTGCAGTGGGTGGGGAGGGGTTAGACTGCCTTGTCTCCCAGATGTGGGAGCTCAGACCCTTCCAGGATGTGGGGGTTAGCCCTGGGTGGGTGAGTAGGAGGCCCCCATGAACCCGAGCCCATGGCAACCCTCGGGCAAGTCCTTGCAGTGGTGCTGGAGGGGCCGAGGCCAGGCCAGCGCTGTGTCTCTCCACAGCTGGGGCTGCCCAAAGCAGAACTACTCCTTCAATGACTCGTCCTCCGAGATCAACTGGTAAGTCCACACTCCAGCTCCCAATAGCCAGGTGCTCAGAGGCTGGGGACCAGGGTTGGGTGGGATGGCCAGAGGCTCACACTGCCTGGTCCCTGAGGGACAATGCCCAGCCTCAGCCCAGCAGCCACCCAGGTTCCCCAGAACACATGTGCCCTTGGCCCTGGCCATGGTCAATGCTAGGAATGTCTCCTTCAAGATGAGCAGTTTGAGAATTATGAGGTCCCAGCCAGTTCCACAGCCTCCACACACTCTTCCTGAGCCCAGTGAGAGATGCAGGGAAGCCTGTCTCCTGGTGAGTTGGCAGCTTCTCTTCCAGTTCACCGTCTTATGGCCAAGGAAGGCGGCTGCCCTGGGCAAGCAGTGGGAGGTGACTGCAGGGCAGCCAGGGTGCCTGGTCCAGAGGTTAAGACCTGTCCCCAGACCCTGCTAGGCGTGTCCCCAGTGCCCGAGCCCCTGTCCACATCAGGCGAGGGGCAGATGGCCCCCTGAAGCCATGCCCCTGCCTGTTTATGGATGAGGAACTGAGGCTCAGGGAAACCCAGGGGGCTATCAGTTAGATAGCCCAACCTCCCTGCTCTTAGGGACATTCATGGGAGCCTGGCTCCAGGGACCCAGGTGAAGAAAACAGGCCACCACCCAGGCTGCTGTTGCCTGTCATTTCCAGAGAGGAGAAGCTTTGCTACCCTTGGCAATGTCATGGGCTGCAGGCCAAGGCTCCATGGGAACTCAGCCATGGGCCCCAGCCTCACAAGCACTTCCTGGGGGGCCAACCCGCTGCAGTCCTGCTCCCTCCTCTCCTCTCTCCTTCGCTTCCCTTCTCCTTCCCTTCCCTCCTTCTTATGGTCCCCTCCAAAGGCAAGGTAGGCTCCTTTGGTCCAGCCCCAGTGAGTAGCACATGCTTGGGGCCAGGGGAAGCCAGTCGTTATGGCCCCAGCCCCAGGGTGGCTGGGGGACACTAGTGGCTGTGGTGCCCTACTGTGCTGCCTCCTTTCTCTCCCCAGGGCTCCCATTCTATGGGTGGAGAGAAAGATGACACTGTGGGCAATCCAGGTGAGTGCCCCACCCTGCCCCCCTCCCCACTGGAGTGGTGCTCAGTAAGCACTGAGGACCAACCCAGGCTCAGTGAGCAGGGAACCTAGACTCAGTGAGCACTGAGGACAGACCCAGGCTCAGCAAATGCTGAGGACAAACCCAGGTTCAATAAACAGGTGACTCTGGCTCAGTGAGCACTGAGGACAAACCCAGGATCGGTAAACAGGGACCCAGGCTCAGTGAGCACTGAGGACAGACCCAGGCTTAGTAAGTAGGGGACCCAGGCTGAGTGAGCACTGAGGACAGACCCAGGCTCAGTAAGCAGGGAAACCAGGCTCAGTGAATGCTGAGGACAAACCAAGGCTCAGTAAACAGGTGACTCAGGGTCAGTGAGCACTGAGGACAAACCCAGCATTTACTGACTCAGGCTCAGTAAATGCTGAGGACAAACCCAGGCTCAGTGAGCACCAAGGACAGTCCCAGGCTCAGTAAGCACGGGACCCAGGCTCAGTGAATGCTGAGGACAAAGCCAGGTTCAGTAAACAGGTGACTCTGGCTCAGTGAGCAAGGAGGACAAACCAAGCAATTACTGACCCAGACTCAGTAAATGCTGAGGACAAACCCAGGATCAGTAAACAGGGTACCCAGGTTCAGTAAGCATTGAGGACAGACCCAGGCTCAGTAAGTAGGGAACCCAGGCTCAGTGAATGCTGAACACAAACCCATGCTCAGTAAGCAGGGGTCCCAGGTTCAGTGAGTGCTGAGGACCAACCCAAGCTCTACTGCTCTCTATACAATTTTCCCAGGGATCCCTGAGGGCTTCATGACCCCCTCTGTCTGCTTCACTGTCTGAATCTCTCCCTCCGCTGACCCATCTGTGTCCTTGCTGTTTTCCTGGGGTGGAAAGTGGCCAGCCACATCCCTGGCTGGCTCCTGGGTGGGCGACCTAGTTCATGACTAGGTCCCATGTCTCTATCTGAGACCAGAGAGGGTCTCCCGTGCCCACCCCATCATGTTCCAGAGGGGTCAGTAGATGCCTGTGCTGAGAGGGGGTTCCACTGGGAAAACCAGGTCCACTGAGCCTCCATTTCCATCCCCTCCCCACCAGGGCAGCGGGAATAGCCGCTCTCTGGTGTCTTCCTGAGTCTCCTGCCTCACCCACTGCACCTTCCATCCCACCCTGGGCCTAGAGTGGGCGGCCCGGGAGGACCAGGGTTTCAAGACTCCATCTGCCCTTGGCCCTGGTGGGGGTCAGCCAAAGGCCTTGGCAGCTAAGACTGTCCTGATATGGGAGTGAGGGTCAAGGCAGCCCCCCCAGACACACGCCTGGCTTTGTGTGGTACCTGCCCACCAAGGCCTGTGGGATCAGGGCCTGCGCCGCAGCCCCGGCCTGCTCCAGAGCTCCTTCCCTTTCCTGACTCCCAGGTCATCGTGGCCATAATAAGCTTCCTGGAGACAATGCTTCTCATCTACCTCAGCTACAAAGTGAGTGCCTGTCCGGGGTGGCACCTCACAGGGGGTCCCCACCCTTCCCCACCTCCCCTACCTCCCATACGTCCCCCACCTT